ATAGAATTGTTGATCCAAGTAATAATTTTTGCATTGTTTGCTTTCCAGATATCTATCAAATCAGCATAACTTGCATCAGTATTCTTAGGTTTCACAGAAGTTCCACTAACATATCCTCATAGCTTTTTACCCTTAACAAAATTTCTCATCACATAACTCCAATATGAATAATTCTTTCCATCCAACCTCACACTCATAGACTGAAGTGAATTGTCTCTTGCAGTAGCCATAATCAACAACCAAAGAAAACCAGAATGCAAAAAGGGAACCAATACCAGATTGCAAAAACAGAACAAATACCAGATTGCCAAAAAACAGAACAAATTCCAGATTGCTTAAACGGAAAAAATACCTTCTTCAAAAAAAAAATTTCCGCGTAAACTGTGTTTGAGATTAAGTCTTGTCCCATGAAACTTTGCTTTGATACCATGTTAAACAATCTAAAGACATACAAGAGATAAGAAAGAGAGGAGACTAGGGTTTTATTAATACTGCATAATTTTAATTGAATACAAGGGAATAATTTAACCTAAATACAAAAAGACTATATATAAGCTAAACAAGGTAGGGAAAATAAAAGACTATTCTACCCTTAATAAATAAAATAACTCTATATTTCTTAACAAAGAAAATTTAGTAATTTTTTTGCTATGAAAGATTTAAGATTAGCAAAGTAGATAGTATGAAAATCTATCATGAAAGGAGTAAAGAAAAATTGTGGTTATCTCAAGAGTGCTATATCGGGAAGGTGCTAGATAGGTTCAACATGGGTAAGGCAAAATTGGTGAGTTCTCCACTTATAGGTCATTTTCAGTTGAGTTCCCAGCAATGTCTTACAAGTGAAAAACAAAATGAAGAGATGAAGAACGTGCCTTATGTATTGACCGTTGGTAGTTTGATATATGCAATAGTGTGCACGAGGCCTGATATTATTCATGCTATTGGAGTTGTCAGTCGATTTCTCTCTAATCTGGGAACATTGGAGTGTAGTGAAATGGATTCTCAAATATCTCAGAGGTACTTTCAGAGTTTGTTTGTGTTTCAGCAGAGATAAGACTATGTTTGATGGATTCACAGATGCAAATATAACCAAGGATATTGGCTATAGGAAGTCTACTTCGAGTTACTTAAATACTTAATTAAGGGGAGCAGTGTCATGACAATCAAAGTTACGGAAGTGTGTTGTTTTATCTACCACATAGGCTGAGTATATTGTTGTCACTAAAGCAAGTAAAGAATTGTTGTGAATGAAGAAATTCTTACAAGAAGTATACTTACAATAGGATAAATATATTCTCTGTTTTGGTAATAAGAGTGCTATCTATCTCAACAAAAATCCAACCTTCCACTCAAAATTCATGCATATTGATGTGAGATATTATTAGATCCTTGATGTATTGGAGATGAAGTTACTGCAGCTTGAACAAATCCATATTGATGGGAATGGTTCAGATATGATGACTAAACAATTATGCAAGGAGAAACTTGAAACTTGTCAAAGGAAAGTGGGCTTGGTTGAGCCCCCCACATGAGCCTAAGGGGGAGATTATTGGGTTGGGTCCAACCCAACCCATGATCATGAGTCCATGGCCCATTTAATTGAATTAGTTTATTTCATAGTTATGGAAAAAGAAGAAGAAGAAGAAGAAAAAGAAAGAAATAAGGATATTGGAGGAAACATGGTCCACATGAGACCACATGTGTTTGTCTTCAGTTGTAACTCCATGCACAAATCAAGAAGAAAAAGGTTTTTAATTCTAGGGGTGGTTTAGTGGTTAAGCATGACTCTTGATGACTTAGTGGTCCTAAGTTCAATTCCTTCCCACACTCCATAAGGTCAAGCTACGGTCAATGCAAATCTGAACTCCCTGTAACCAAAAAAATAAAAAATAAAAAAAGGAAAAGGTTTCTGCCAACAAAAAAAAAAAAAACCCACTTTGTGATGGCGACAGAAAAATAAACAAAGCAAAGGACGAAACCGAGAATAGAAGAGATTGTTTGCGCAGACATTACTTTGGGTCAAAATTTGGTCAAACATTCAATGTCTTATTTTGATGAAATTTTGGTATGTTGTTTGTAGTCACAGGGGTTATGCATTGATCAATTTGTTTTATCAAAATCCTTCTCGGATTGATATTTTGCAAGTCTCATTTGGTGAGATTTCTTCCGGTTACTTTTGTTGATATCCATCTTCAAGTGATATATTATTAATTTTTGATTGCTTTTGAAAATTGTTCTGAGGAGAATTGTTCTAAGCCCCTTATTTTGATATAGTAGAAAGTTGAGATCGGAGTTCGTGGATGTACCTTAGGTTTAGGGAAACCACGTAAATTTTATGTTTTGCTTGTGGTTTGATTTTATTATTTACATTATTTTTTTCGTTGATTAAGTTTGATTCATCATTTATTTAATTCGCATAAAGAAGAATATAAAATTAATACTATTTTTTGTGAGTTCACCCTATCAATTTTTGAATTTTAAATCAATGTAGATAATTAAATTAATTAGTCTTACTAACTCTTATAGGCATTCAATTATAAAAATATTTGGTATATGCAATTTTATTCTTTGATATGTTTTCACCTCAGCATGATCAAACAATAGTTATATTTGTACAATAAAATATATTCAGTTCAAATAATTCACAAATAATTTACATTATCCTTTGCATAAAAAGGGTGAAGCTTTACTAGGGCTTGGTGCTTCCTGATTAAGCCTAAATAATGCATATTTATCCTATCATTTGTAAGTTAATTGTCACGAGTATAAACTTAACTGTATGAGATTAATGCTATATTTGATTCTATCATGATTTAGTTGGTGTTTGCCTATTTTGTTGACCAAATAAGAAGGTAAACATGGGAGAATGGATGCCACAAAGGAAGGGAGAGAGTTGAATAATAGAGCTCTGAAGACCACGTTCGGACGACATATGACCAAGTTTGGATGTAGGGTACTGTATCAGAGGAAAAATTGCTAGGACTCTCAACTTCTCACATCTGGACGACAACTTATTCACCTCCAGACATGTATGAATCTAAGATTTGCATTCGAACATCACTTTACCCTTGTCCGAACGCGTGTCCACATTCCCAACCAATTAGAGAGTTCGATAATACGAGGCTTGGGTCATCTTTCCCGATTTGGGAAGTACTCTATACTTTTTACTCTTCTTTGGGGAAATTTTTTCAGATTTAGAAGTTTTTCTATTATTTTCTTATTTAATCCTTCTTTGGGTATGTAATTAATATTATGAACTTTAATTGATATTTTTCTTTAATTGTTCAATTCATCTTATTTAGCAAAACTTTCTCTCTATGTAATCTCTTGATTTATTATGCTAAATTTGATGAAAACTTGAGATTCTTTGTGAGTAGAATAGGTAGATGTACATGTTTGGGTTGAATTGGTAATGAATACATCTAATTAGTTGATTTATATGATTAAGGTATTTGATTGGTTAATTGTTTAATTTATCATTGACTTCGGGCATGTTAAATGTTTGTAATTGACAATTGGTTGGTTGGATTCATTTAAATTAACTTATTGATTATATCTTAGAGAATTTTCTCATTACTCATTGATAAATTCTCCAATTGAGTTCACTTCCTAGTTGTTTTTCAATTGAGATTGAAAATTATGATTAATTAATTACCCAATTGTTATTGAAGAAGTATCTAATGCCTCATTATTTTTCACAAATCATTTTCTCAAGTTATTTAAGTTTATTTATTTTAAGATTCAACTTCCAAATCAATCTCTCTCAAACACAAGACATATTTTATTTTATTAAATCTTTTTAACTCTAAAATCCCCATCTCCCTGTGGTTCGACATTTGATTCTATCAAAAAATTATTACTTGCTTGACGCCTATATTTGGGTTTACAACTTTCAAAGTCAAGTAGTTGTATGTACTAGAAGCACTTCCCAAATGAAAGACCGTATCAGAAAGGGAATTAATCGAGATGCCTACTCATGGCGTAGATAATCTATTTTTGATCGTATCAGAAAGAAAATTAATTGAAGTGCTCGTAAACTAGTCCGAATTCTCCTAACCATTAAACCAAAAAAAAAAAAAATCAAACAAAATTATAAAGAACACCTTTTGGGTTTATTCGCATGTTTTGTTAACTGTAGGTGGGATGTCTCTGTCGGACATAGGCCAAATAACAAACCAATTGAGGATTTAAGTTGCTTCATCAATATTACAATCGGCATTAGTGTTTTCTTTATAATTAAGTTTAAAGAATGATTTTTTTTGCATTATCCAATTACAATGTATCTTTTTCATAGGTGGTAGTTACAATAGAATAATCTATTTCTTTACCCCCACCCCTTTTCTAACCAGCAAAAAAAAGAAAGAGAATCTAGTTCCACAATACTGTATATACTCGAATCACCACCTTTGTCATATGGTCAAGTATTAAAATTTCTTTTAGTTTGACCGAACAAAACCAAAAATATCAGTTTGAATAGAAACCAAAATTAGATATCAAAGTTTTTATATTTCGAGATGTCTCATGATATTTTTAGAATATTTTCATTAATATTTTGAAATGTTTCGGAATCAATTTTTTGAATTTTTTTTTTCTGTTTTCTTATTTTTTCAGAAATGTTTACATATACAAGCTGACTAAACTATGGACTAAATAAAAAAAAAAAAAAAAAACTATGGACTAAAATGAATTCTGATCTTTTCTTGTCACCCACCTATTTTTAAAACCATGAGGCTAATTTTATTTTTAGAATGGTTTTAAGTATCACACACACAAATATCAAGGAGCCTAGATCCAGCATTTTGCTTATTCAATGATCACAAGCTAATAGGTGAAGCAATCAAAAAGAAATTAAATCCCAATACAGATAAATATCGAAATTGCACAAGGAATAAATTTAAAGGAAAAAGGGCAATATTCATCTATATACTTGAAGTTTTTGTCCTCATCTGTATACAAATGTAACAAGTTATCAAGATTACATGCTTTGTTCTGTCAATCTCTCACTTCTTAATGAAACCTCGATATTTCGTTTTAGGAAGAGGAGGAAGGTTAGTGAGTCTCACCAAGTTATCATCTTCAACATCACAGGAATGCTTGCAGGAGCATGTGAACATGCTCTTAGGTATCTTAGAACCAATCCAGCTCTTACTACTTTCACCAGACATTTTGACATCTCTAACACTCTTTGTGCACTCCTTCAAAGCCGCAAGAAAAGGGTCCTCTTGCTCCTGAAGGCCCTTTAAAGAAAAACTTCTTCTCGGAGGCTGAAAAAATTGGCCTGGAGGAGGAGGAGGAATCTTCTTGTTCTCATAATGAGTACTCATCGTTGCAGAGATATCCAAATGCGAAGGAGATGATGCTTTACTCATCGTTGCAGATATATCCAAATGCCAAGGAGATGATGTTNAATGAATAATAGTATATTATATAATTTATAATTTATATAAAATCATTTATTTATAAAAGTTAGAGTCAAAATCAGAGTTTTTTCAGAAAGTATTTCAAACTCCAACTCTGATTTGAAATGGAGTCTAAGTGTTCCCTTCAACTCCAACTTCGACTTTGTTAAAATCCAACTCAAAAAAAAAAGATGTGAAGTCGGACCAGAGGCGAAGTCAAATTTTCAGACTCATGCACACCCCCTAATGCTAAGTCTGATATGGCTAATTATCTGATTTATGAGCTTATGCACACTTTTTTTTAATATGGTTGAGACAGGATAAGGTAGGGTTTTAGCGTTCAATAGTAGTTTGCAACAGAAGCTCTCTTCTTCTTCTTTTTACATACAATTGTGGATTACTATTTCAATAAATAATTAGAGTAAATAAGAACCCAAAACCGAAAGAGGACACAATATAACCTCTCAAAGAAAGGATATCAAGAAATTAAATTTTGCATTTGGTAATGATTGCCCACTTCACTTTTAATTGACGAATCAACTTGCCTTCATTAATAGAAGGGTCGATTGGACTAAGTATAAATGGATAGTCTAGGAACTATCTCCACATCATAATCAAATTGTGGCTTGTCTAATTGAAGGATAGCAATTTTATATGATATGGTTGCCTTTTTTAGAAGGTATAGCATATGAATGCTATTCTCAGCACATGAGCCATTTTAAGATACCAAAGCAAGCATCAAAACTCTAAGCATTACCATTCAAGAACTAGCTACGTCCTAAGCAAGTTCACAAGTTTGTCTGCTAAGGAAATTAGACAGAAACTTACAAACTTGGAGATGTAGGAATGAAATATTGTTCGGTAAAATATGAGCATAATCTCGAGGGTTGATGCTGCTACGATTTCTACGATGATGATTGCATCAGATTTTTTAATATCTTGGTTTCGAATTTTGACAATTTTATGGGGATCAGGTCGTAAGGGATTTATCCCTAATGAATACTTTAGTTCCAGCGTGGATGGTATGTCTTTGATTGGTTGGGGAGGGGATTAGTCGAGGTACGCTTAAACCTTAAACTGACCCCTATGATAATTAAATCAAAAATAAAAAAGTAATTTTTTAATATTATACAAATTCACCAATAAATTTTTATTTGAGCTCTTTGTAACTATTATTAAAAAAAATAACAAGGTAAAATAATAAGAAAAATTTTATGCATGTGTCAAGTTTTTTTTATTGAAGAAAATAANGTTCAATAGTAGTTTGCAACAGAAGCTCTCTTCTTCTTCTTTTTACATACAATTGTGGATTACTATTTCAATAAATAATTAGAGTAAATAAGAACCCAAAACCGAAAGAGGACACAATATAACCTCTCAAAGAAAGGATATCAAGAAATTAAATTTTGCATTTGGTAATGATTGCCCACTTCACTTTTAATTGACGAATCAACTTGCCTTCATTAATAGAAGGGTCGATTGGACTAAGTATAAATGGATAGTCTAGGAACTATCTCCACATCATAATCAAATTGTGGCTTGTCTAATTGAAGGATAGCAATTTTATATGATATGGTTGCCTTTTTTAGAAGGTATAGCATATGAATGCTATTCTCAGCACATGAGCCATTTTAAGATACCAAAGCAAGCATCAAAACTCTAAGCATTACCATTCAAGAACTAGCTACGTCCTAAGCAAGTTCACAAGTTTGTCTGCTAAGGAAATTAAACAGAAACTTACAAACTTGGAGATGTAGGAATGAAATATTGTTCGGTAAAATATGAGCAAAATCTCGAGGGTTGATGCTGCTACGATTTCTACGATGATGATTGCATCAGATTTTTTAATATCTTGATTTCGAATTTTGACAATTTTATGGGAATCAGGTCGCAAGGGATTTATCCCTAATGAATACTTTAGTTCCAGCGTGGATGATATGTCTTTGATTGGGTTGAGGAGGGGATTAGTCGAGGTACGCTTAAACCTTAAACTGACCCCTATGATAATTAAATCAAAAATAAAAAAGTGATTTTTTAATATTATACAAATTCACCAATAAATTTTTATTTGAGCTCTTTGTAACTATTATTAAAAAAAATAACAAGGTAAAATAATAAGAAAAATTGTATGCATGTGGCAAGTTTTTTTTATTGAAGAAAATAAAAATTACAATATCCAAAAATAACTTCTCGGTACCGCCTTGCTGCCCGGCAGATTATTGCGTAAGAAAAGAAGTTAAGCGATAAAAGACAAGGACATTAACACTTCATATCATGAGGTTGCGTACCATAGCAGTCTTGTAAATCACCAATTCTTCGCCCCTTTGACCTTTCTAAGTCTTTAAGAGTTCATCATAAAGTGATAGACTACTAGGGCTAGCAGCACCTAATGTTAGACGAGTTTGTGCACATCAAATTAAAGCAAAGACAAGGGTAGTTCAAGTACCATCGTTGTGGTTATGCCTGTCAACAACAGATAAATTTGGATGCAATTGTATTCAGTTCAAATGCGAATCTAATTAGGAAGTTTCGATCTAAATTCGATCAGATTATCCCAATAGATTTTATTTCACAACTCGTATCTGAATACGTCAAAAATCAAATATTTAATCCAATAATTCAACTCGATCTGAATAACTAAATGAAGTTGTATTTTAGCAAATTATATCTAAATTTCATCAAATAATTACTTAATTTTATCGTAAATTTATAAGTTGGATTGGATAATAATCGGATTGGGTAATAGTACATCCAAATTCAAATCCATTAAATATTTTAATGGATACTGATGGTGTATGAAACTAAGAAGCATGGGATGATTGAGTTGAAGAGCTTTTTTGGTGAGAGTGGGGCGACTGGGTATGTGTGTGTAGCGATAGTAAATAAAAAAACAAGGAAATTAAGTGGCTCATCAAGTTAGAGAACTAGATTAGTCCACTCTAATGGAGTGTCTTACTCCTCTAGTTTGTATTGCTTAGAGAAAAAGACAGACAACTTTAGTGAATACAATTGTCTATTCTTTTGCAATGTAAGGGTCTCTCTACTTATACCCTAAGATAGTGTGTTCCTCAAGTAATGATGGAGTAGTCTGTTAGTTTGTTAAGATTTTGAGAGAGAATATTTGGTCGTCGAAAACTGTATTTCCTAGGCACAAACTGATATTCTAAAAATTGGTGAAGTGGTGTTAGAAATAGTTAATAATGTGAGGTATTCCACATTGGAAAAGTAGAAAGGGAGTGTAAGAGTTTAAAAAGAGAAACACACAAAATTTTATAGATTTTGATAGTGGGAAGATTTGGAGGGAAACTCCAAATATTTCAAATCAATTGGCCTTGATTAGGCTTCAAATAAAAGGAAATTTGGAGGCTAGCCCCCCTATATGGACTTGTTTGGAGATAAGTCAAGTAAGAAAACTTATCAGAGTCTAAGTCCGTGTTTAAACTTATATATAGGTACTTAAGTCCACTTTTTTTTTAAATCTCAATATTACCCCTAATGGGGTTAATTTTGTCCAATTATGGAAAATCCAATAAGTTAGATCTTTAAAGTATATATAAAAACCTTAGTTTGAGTTATATATGAAAATTATTTTTCATTAAAAATCTAGATAATTAAATAAAGAATGTATAGAATGTATATATTCTGCTAACTATATATAGAAACCTGATTGACGAATTAATTCAGATCACAAGTTTTCCTTATCAATTCAAATTCAAATTCAAATTCTTAATCAATTTTAGTCTGTTATACTTTTGAATAATAGACTTTTGTGTTTGGCAGGGGGTTCGAAGGTGATAAAAACAGTAGTGAGACCATGTATTATTAATGATGTTACTGTCAAGGNTTTTAGTCTGTTATACTTTTGAATAATAGACTTTTGTGTTTGGCAGGGGGTTCGAATGTGATAAAAACAGTAGTGAGACCATGTATTATTAATGATGTTACTGTCAAAGTTACTATTTAATGATCATTACATACAATAACCAATCGTGCAACAATGTTACAAATTCACTTGATAATGAATAATTACAATGGATTTTAACATATCAATTTCACATACAACACAATTTTAGCATTCTAAAATTGAATGGTTATGTTAGTTGGAACATTTTTTAACGTGTTACTGTTTGAGTTACTGTTGCGCTTACAAATTAGACAGAATTTTCTTTGTTTTTCAAACGTTCCATTNTAACATATCAATTTCACATACAACACAATTTTAGCATTCTAAAATTGAATGGTTATGTTAGTTGGAACATTTTTTAACGTGTTACTGTTTGAGTTACTGTTGCGCTTACAAATTAGACATAATTTTCTTTGTTTTTCAAACGTTCCATTACAAACAAATTTTCAAACCTACATCAACATATCAATTTAATATTAAGATGTAACATCCAAACCACAATTCTACATGTTTGAATACTCCTTTTAAACAAAGTACCAAACAGTAAACAATTATAACCAACTTCTAACCAAGCTTACAATTAGCTAANCAATTTAATATTAAGATGTAACATCCAAACCACAATTCTATATGTTTGAATACTCCTTTTAAACAAAGTACCAAACAGTAAACAATTATAACCAACTTCTAACCAAGCTTACAATTAGCTGAGGAATGAATAGCTTTACAAAATCATCAATTTTTATTTTTTTGGTATTTTTTTTTCAATCTTGATCTTGTCTTGTAGTCTTCAATAGTCATGCATTCCTATAGTTTATGAATGTAGTCACCATATGTATCCGTAGAGCATTAAGTTGTATTNTGAATAGCTTTACAAAATCATCAATTTTTATTTTTTTGGTATTTTTTTTTCAATCTTGATCTTGTCTTGTAGTCTTCAATAGTCCATGCATTCCTATAGTTTATGAATGTAGTCACCATATGTATCCGTAGATCATTAAGTTGTATTGGTTTCAATTTCTCTTTTATTTCCTGTAATTGTCATCAACCTGTAGCACGACGTTGTAATATCAATATGAATATATTAGACAGTTGTAATATCAATATCCTATACAAACATATAGTATCATGATACAAAATAGTACCGCACAACATATGGTAACATAAAAAATAGTAACATACATGATATAGTAACATGATACCAAGCATAATGGATATAAACCAATTATGAAAAATTTTGTGCAAGAGTAACATTAATAGTTCCACCAAATTACATGATGTAAATATCGTAACATCAAGTTAGTAACATTAAATTCTTAACTAAATCTCAGTAACATCATCTTCAGTACCATCAGACACACAATTTTGTGTGCCTGTACATTACAATTATATGGTTTGAAGATTGCACTATACATAACATTGTCCTAAAGAAACTGAAACTGTTGAGTACTTTNATTATGAAAAATTTTGTGCAAGAGTAACATTAATAGTTCCACCAAATTACATGATGTAAATATCGTAACATCAAGTTAGTAACATTAAATTCTTAACTAAATCTCAGTAACATCATCTTCAGTACCATCAGACACACAATTTTGTGTGCCTGTACATTACAATTATATGGTTTGAAGATTGCACTATACATAACATTGTCCTAAAGAAATTGAAACTGTTGAGTACTCTTGTGATATCATGATTACACTAGTTCATGAACATCATTTTCAGTTGTTGAATAAAAAAGACTCATTCCCAATCAACACTTTAAAGCAAACAATAACCCCCTCAAAAGTTCGGAAACAAATTAGGGTGCATCAAAGTGTATCGGTCCATTATAACCTCGTGTTCTTTTCACAATAACACAACGAATAAAAATGGAATTGTTTTAAGAAACCCAAATAGTAACACAAACTCAACCCCAATTTACACTTTTTACTACCAATTGCAAACATTTTAAGACGTATATTATGTAACATACACTTTTAACTTTCATAGTAACACCAAAGTTTTGTGCTCAGTAACACATCGACTTTCACAAACTACAAGGTTATATGGTGTTCACAGTAACATCAATTTTTGAAAAATTATAGTGAAAATACGATCCACAAATTGAATATTTACAAAATTTCTAGTAGTAACATACTATCAATAGTTAAATTAGGACACTCAACACTAATCAAGAACATCAAGATATCGACATTATGAGACACATTTTTCAAGTCCTCACATAGTAACATGATATATTTCACAAACACACAACGAAAGNTCTAGTAGTAACATACTATCAATAGTTAAATTAGGACACTCAACACTAATCAAGAACATCAAGATATCGACATTATGAGATACATTTTTCAAGTCCTCACATAGTAACATGATATATTTCACAAACACACAACGAAAGAATTTTGAATGTCTTACACAACGACGAAACAACAAAATCAAAAAACATAAAACTTTAATGTAGTAATAAGGAAGTATCAATTTTATGGTTATGAATGCAAAAAAAAAAACTAGTTGACAGTTTGAACGATAAATCATTTTTTTAGATCAATAAACTAGTTATTAAACTTGTATAAGTCAGATCATCATCAACACAAACAATCTCTCAATTATACAGAAATGCCACAAAACACAGACAAGAAAGAGTACCCACAAGAACCCTCTTTTCTCATCCATTTCCTCTCCTCATTCTCCAAAAAACAAAAACAAAAACACACAAAAACATACATTTAAGACAAAAATTGAAAAAGGTTTGTGGAAAGGGAGAGTACCAAAATGCATAGCCAATGTGATGGTTGAATTGAGGATCAAGGATGATAATCAGACGGCTTTGATGACACTAGAAATGGCATCAGAGTCATTATCATCAGCAGAAGTAGGTGGGTTTGGATTGAGAGGGGCACAAATGGTGTCATCGTCGGCGTCGTAATATGGGTTGAGGTTGCGATCTATGGCTTCACGATCTTTTTTGAGACATGGTTTACAGGCCATTTCTATGGCTGTCCAACACAGTACCAGTCTCGCTATTGCTATGATTGCTGCCGTTAGTGCCCCTATCTCTCTCTTTCGCTCTCTAATTTCTTTGATTTTTGCTCATGAGTTTTGGGAATTGAGAGAAAGGAAACAATAAATCATGTAAAGGTTTCTTTAAAACCCTTAAAGAAACTTTTTGTGCAAAGAAGGAAACTCTGTTGTATGGACGGTTATTGCCAGATTTGAAGCCTATTATTCAGGAGTGTATATCGTTGAATGGGTTTTGTCCGTCTGTGTAGAAGACGATCAAGGCAGACGTCTATTATGCCTTTTCCAAAAGGCATGGGTAATATAGTAAACCTGAAAAAAAGTGGAAACTCTTTTTGTGCAAAGAAGGAAACTCTGTTGTATGGACGGTTATTGCCAGATTTGAAGCCTATTATTCAGGAGTGTATATCGTTGAATGGGTTTTGTCCGTCTGTGTAGAAGACGATCAAGGCAGACGTCTATTATGCCTTTTCCAAAAGGCATGGGTAATATAGTAAACCTGAAAAAAAGTGGAAACTCTTTTTGTGCAAAGAAGGAAACTCTGTTGTATGGACGGTTATTGCCAGATTTGAAGCCTATTATTCAGGAGTGTATATCGTTGAATGGGTTTTGTCCGTCTGTGTAGAAGACGATCAAGGCAGACGTCTATTATGCCTTTTCCAAAAGGCATGGGTAATATAGTAAACCTGAAGAAAAATGGACTTAAAATCAAATAATTTTTCTTGTCGGACTTATCTCCAAACAAGTCCATCTAGGAGGACCTACCTCCAATTTTCACTTAAATAAAATAATATTTAAAGTCAAAAGATTAATTAATGTCTCTTGGCCCAAGAGTTGTGTCTCCTCTTTACATCTCTTTGGCCCAAGAGTTGTGTCTCCCTGTTACATCTCTAAAATATTATAAATACCTGTACAGATCCTTCAATAAAAAGATAATGTTTCCTTATTCTGTTCTTGGGAGAATTTTAGAGTTTGTTATTTAAAATTCTGTTTGGATTTTCTAATCCTAAAGAAATTTGTCATAAATCTAGCAACAACATAGTGAGGGCATAATTTTCTTAAGAATAGTGAATACACGTTCAAAGCCTTCTAATCTGTTGAAATTATTTTGCTAACATGTGGCACTCTAGGGATGGATTCTCCTTATCCAGAGTGGAATTGGATGGTGTAATTTCATTCTTGCCCTTCTTGAATGACTATCATCAAGCTGCTTGGCGTATCTAATGGGTTTTCCCTTCTAGTGGCTTGACTGGGCCTACCTTGGTGTGAACCCTTTTTGATTGTTAGGCTGAGCTCAACATTGTGTCATTTATTCCAGATGCCAAGGCATGCCAAGCCCAAGCTAAGGCTAGTATGATCTGGCTACTACTTCGGACGAGGTTCCTTTGGGATGTCAGCCAAACTTCTAACCTCTGTCATGTCATTACAGGAAAATGTTGGTTTGCTAGAGAGCGTAGAGGTGCACTCCCCAACTAGAGATAAGTGATTTGTAGACTCCTTCCCAAATAAGGTGTGTTTCTTTGAGGTTGCCTTCGACTTAAGTTTCCCCTAAATGACTTCATTAGATTTGTACTTCATCCTTTCAATCTATCCTCTGCTTGTCTTTCTCTTAATGGATGGGGAATCCTGGTTGGCCTGCTCATCCACTTCAAGGCGAGTGGGATTAAGTCTAAGTCTTCCATCATTGAACTTGTAAACCTCTAAAAGAGGGTTAAGAGTCCACTACTTATCATGGATCCCCCCTCTTGTCATAAGACCCAGAAAGACAAGTTCATCTTCATTTCTAGAACTGGCTGAAAGTTTGACGGCTTTGTTGATCGAGTGTTTCGAGTCCCCAGACGACGGGCTCCCCCTAAGAACATCAGTAAGTAGTTGATAGTTAGCATTTGCCGACATGTTCGCCATGTCAAACCTTCCTTAACTTTCATTGTGTTTTTGCAAAGTATATGCNCAAAAACAAAAACAAAAACACACAAAAACATACATTTAAGACAAAAATTGAAAAAGGTTTGTGGAAAGGGAGAGTACCAAAATGCATAGCCAATGTGATGGTTGAATTGAGGATCAAGGATGATAATCAGACGGCTTTGATGACACTAGAAATGGCATCAGAGTCATTATCATCAGCAGAAGTAGGTGGGTTTGGATTGAGAGGGGCACAAATGGTGTCATCGTCGGCGTCGTAATATGGGTTGAGGTTGCGATCTATGGCTTCACGATCTTTTTTGAGACATGGTTTACAGGCCATTTCTATGGCTGTCCAACACAGTACCAGTCTCGCTATTGCTATGATTGCTGCCGTTAGTGCCCCTATCTCTCTCTTTCGCTCTCTAATTTCTTTGATTTTTGCTCATGAGTTTTGGGAATTGAGAGAAAGGAAACAATAAATCATGTAAAGGTTTCTTTAAAACCCTTAAAGAAACTTTTTGTGCAAAGAAGGAAACTCTGTTGTATGGACGGTTATTGCCAGATTTGAAGCCTATTATTCAGGAGTGTATATCGTTGAATGGGTTTTGTCCGTCTGTGTAGAAGACGATCAAGGCAGACGTCTATTATGCCTTTTCCAAAAGGCATGGGTAATATAGTAAACCTGAAGAAAAATGGACTTAAAATCAAATAATTTTTCTTGTCGGACTTATCTCCAAACAAGTCCATCTAGGAGGACCTACCTCCAATTTTCACTTAAATAAAATAATATTTAAAGTCAAAAGATTAATTAATGTCTCTTGGCCCAAGAGTTGTGTCTCCTCTTTACATCTCTTTGGCCCAAGAGTTGTGTCTCCCTGTTACATCTCTAAAATATTATAAATACCTGTACAGATCCTTCAATAAAAAGATAATGTTTCCTTATTCTGTTCTTGGGAGAATTTTAGAGTTTGTTATTTAAAATTCTGTTTGGATTTTCTAATCCTAAAGAAATTTGTCATAAATCTAGCAACAACATAGTGAGGGCATAATTTTCTTAAGAATAGTGAATACACGTTCAAAGCCTTCTAATCTGTTGAAATTATTTTGCTAACATGTGGCACTCTAGGGATGGATTCTCCTTATCCAGAGTGGAATTGGATGGTGTAATTTCATTCTTGCCCTTCTTGAATGACTATCATCAAGCTGCTTGGCGTATCTAATGGGTTTTCCCTTCTAGTGGCTTGACTGGGCCTACCTTGGTGTGAACCCTTTTTGATTGTTAGGCTGAGCTCAACATTGTGTCATTTATTCCAGATGCCAAGGCATGCCAAGCCCAAGCTAAGGCTAGTATGATCTGGCTACTACTTCGGACGAGGTTCCTTTGGGATGTCAGCCAAACTTCTAACCTCTGTCATGTCATTACAGGAAAATGTTGGTTTGCTAGAGAGCGTAGAGGTGCACTCCCCAACTAGAGATAAGTGATTTGTAGACTCCTTCCCAAATAAGGTGTGTTTCTTTGAGGTTGCCTTCGACTTAAGTTTCCCCTAAATGACTTCATTAGATTTGTACTTCATCCTTTCAATCTATCCTCTGCTTGTCTTTCTCTTAATGGATGGGGAATCCTGGTTGGCCTGCTCATCCACTTCAAGGCGAGTGGGATTAAGTCTAAGTCTTCCATCATTGAACTTGTAAACCTCTAAAAGAGGGTTAAGAGTCCACTACTTATCATGGATCCCCCCTCTTGTCATAAGACCCAGAAAGACAAGTTCATCTTCATTTCTAGAACTGGCTGAAAGTTTGACGGCTTTGTTGATCGAGTGTTTCGAGTCCCCAGACGACGGGCTCCCCCTAAGAACATCAGTAAGTAGTTGATAGTTAGCATTTGCCGACATGTTCGCCATGTCAAACCTTCCTTAACTTTCATTGTGTTTTTGCAAAGTATATGCTTGAGCTGATGACATTCAAGAAGGAGAACATCCAAAAGCTAGGCGATTTGGTCCGAAACTTCTATCCGAGCTGGTCACTAAAGAGAACGTAGCCAAGTACGGGGTTGGNGCTTGAGCTGATGACATTCAAGAAGGAGAACATCCAAAAGCTAGGCGATTTGGTCCAAAACTTCTATCCGAGCTGGTCACTAAAGAGAACGTAGCCAAGTACGGGGTTGNGTGCAAAGAAGGAAACTCTGTTGTATGGACGGTTATTGCCAGATTTGAAGCCTATTATTCAGGAGTGTATATCGTTGAATGGGTTTTGTCCGTCTGTGTAGAAGACGATCAAGGCAGACGTCTATTATGCCTTTTCCAAAAGGCATGGGTAATATAGTAAACCTGAAAAAAAGTGGAAACTCTTTTTGTGCAAAGAAGGAAACTCTGTTGTATGGACGGTTATTGCCAGATTTGAAGCCTATTATTCAGGAGTGTATATCGTTGAATGGGTTTTGTCCGTCTGTGTAGAAGACGATCAAGGCAGACGTCTATTATGCCTTTTCCAAAAGGCATGGGTAATATAGTAAACCTGAAGAAAAATGGACTTAAAATCAAATAATTTTTCTTGTCGGACTTATCTCCAAACAAGTCCATCTAGGAGGACCTACCTCCAATTTTCACTTAAATAAAATAATATTTAAAGTCAAAAGATTAATTAATGTCTCTTGGCCCAAGAGTTGTGTCTCCTCTTTACATCTCTTTGGCCCAAGAGTTGTGTCTCCCTGTTACATCTCTAAAATATTATAAATACCTGTACAGATCCTTCAATAAAAAGATAATGTTTCCTTATTCTGTTCTTGGGAGAATTTTAGAGTTTGTTATTTAAAATTCTGTTTGGATTTTCTAATCCTAAAGAAATTTGTCATAAATCTAGCAACAACATAGTGAGGGCATAATTTTCTTAAGAATAGTGAATACACGTTCAAAGCCTTCTAATCTGTTGAAATTATTTTGCTAACATGTGGCACTCTAGGGATGGATTCTCCTTATCCAGAGTGGAATTGGATGGTGTAATTTCATTCTTGCCCTTCTTGAATGACTATCATCAAGCTGCTTGGCGTATCTAATGGGTTTTCCCTTCTAGTGGCTTGACTGGGCCTACCTTGGTGTGAACCCTTTTTGATTGTTAGGCTGAGCTCAACATTGTGTCATTTATTCCAGATGCCAAGGCATGCCAAGCCCAAGCTAAGGCTAGTATGATCTGGCTACTACTTCGGACGAGGTTCCTTTGGGATGTCAGCCAAACTTCTAACCTCTGTCATGTCATTACAGGAAAATGTTGGTTTGCTAGAGAGCGTAGAGGTGCACTCCCCAACTAGAGATAAGTGATTTGTAGACTCCTTCCCAAATAAGGTGTGTTTCTTTGAGGTTGCCTTCGACTTAAGTTTCCCCTAAATGACTTCATTAGATTTGTACTTCATCCTTTCAATCTATCCTCTGCTTGTCTTTCTCTTAATGGATGGGGAATCCTGGTTGGCCTGCTCATCCACTTCAAGGCGAGTGGGATTAAGTCTAAGTCTTCCATCATTGAACTTGTAAACCTCTAAAAGAGGGTTAAGAGTCCACTACTTATCATGGATCCCCCCTCTTGTCATAAGACCCAGAAAGACAAGTTCATCTTCATTTCTAGAACTGGCTGAAAGTTTGACGGCTTTGTTGATCGAGTGTTTCGAGTCCCCAGACGACGGGCTCCCCCTAAGAACATCAGTAAGTAGTTGATAGTTAGCATTTGCCGACATGTTCGCCATGTCAAACCTTCCTTAACTTTCATTGTGTTTTTGCAAAGTATATGCTTGAGCTGATGACATTCAAGAAGGAGAACATCCAAAAGCTAGGCGATTTGGTCCAAAACTTCTATCCGAGCTGGTCACTAAAGAGAACGTAGCCAAGTACGGGGTTGTCTAACACTCACTACTAAGAACATCTCCAACCACGTTCAATAAAATAATTACTCAAAATATATTTAAATATTGTATTCACTACTTTAGCTATCCACTTTTTCAAATTTACTCCAACTACGCTCTCTATTTTAACTGACCACTTCAATTAACTTTAACTAATTTTCAATAATAAAATTCAAAAAATAGCAATTTTATTATACATTGTATAAATTTAATCAATTATGGGCTACAAGAATAAATATCATGGTGGGATTTTACTGAATTTTTAAGAGGGTTTTGCTGGATTTTTATCAACTCATCATCTTCCCCCATTCTGATCAACAATACAAAATTAATCCAATCAGGCAAGACCCATCAAGTAAACCACCAAACCCAACAAATCAAAAATCAAAGAGTGTGAATCCCACGAACTCAAACAGAGTGCCGAAGTGTGAACAGAGAGACAAAGTAGCAGCGGCAAAGATGAAACACTAGAAAGAGTCTGTATATGAATGCACAGACCAAATCGAGATGATTGAAATCGAGCCAGACCAAGTTTTTGAACAAACCCAGACCAAAATTTTCACTGAAGTGAGTTCAATATTCACAATATAATTAAACCCTTCTTGATTGATGATGAAATACCTGTAAGTGAAGGAAATGAAAGGGTTTATTGAAACAAAATCTTAAACCCTTCTTGATTGATGATGTTGGCCACAAACAGCGATTGACGATGGTGGTGGGGAATCTGTTGACTTCTGGGACGCTCCACTGACAGAGTGAGTCTGAGAGTACAGGGAGAGAGCTCTGATGAAGAAGAACCACAAAATTGGCGTAAAACTCTGATGAAGAACAACCAAAATTGGGGGAGAGAGCTCTGATGAGAGAGAGTGTTGTTAGTCACAACTGATGAGTGAGAATGGGGAGATGCAGAGTAGTGAGTGATTTGTTTAGCCGGATGGAGCCAAATTTTTTGGATTTGCTCAGCAAAATAGCCAGAAGGTATCCTTTGTTGAGCCAGTTGGAGTTGCTCTAAGCTCATCTTCCTTGGTAAGCCAGTTGGAGTTGAGCCAGAAGGTATCCTTTGTTCTTCTCTCTTTCTCTCTNTCTGATGAAGAAGAACCACAAAATTGGCGTAAAACTCTGATGAAGAACAACCAAAATTGGGGGGGAGAGCTCTGATGAGAGAGAGTGTTGTTAGTCACAACTGATGAGTGAGAATGGGGAGATGCAGAGTAGTGAGTGATTTGTTTAGCCGGATGGAGCCAAATTTTTTGGATTTGCTCAGCAAAATAGCCAGAAGGTATCCTTTGTTGAGCCAGTTGGAGTTGCTCTAAGCTCATCTTCCTTGGTAAGTGTACGTCTTCTTCTCTCTTTCTCACTTNTTTTTGGATTTGCTCAGCAAAATAGCCAGAAGGTATCCTTTGTTGAGCCAGTTGGAGTTGCTCTAAGCTCATCTTCCTTGGTAAGCCAGTTGGAGTTGAGCCAGAAGGTATCCTTTGTTCTTCTCTCTTTCTCTCTTTTTTTTTTAGCTCTTTGTTTTATTGTGCAGATTCAGAAGAGATGCCTCCCAAGAAAGACACTCCAAGACAAGCTAAGAAGAAGAGCGATTCTGAGCATCCTCCTCACCAGTTTCGTTGTATGAGGAGAGGACCGAATAAATCCGAGGGGATGAACCAAATACTGGGCAATCTGACTTGCCTAAGAATGAGGAGGCCCCCAATCACCATAAGTCTGATGACCCATCTCTGATCGAATATGGTACTTATTTAGTCCACATCAATCAAAAGCCTATTCTAATTTCATCCATCGAAAGTAAGATATGGCACTTCTATCTGAACGCCAATCATTGACTCCATTAAACACTAAAACAACCAGCCCTATATCCCAAATCAAATACAAAAATTGAAACCCAAATCCAAATTTAATAAACCTAATTGCAAATACACAAATAATTTTTTTTGCAAACTTACTTGCGCACTAGAAGTTGGAGGGGTTGCATGAAAGGTCAACATTTTCAAACAAGACTTCGCAAATATTTTCATCATCATAAAGTAAGAGGAAAAAAAATATATTGTAGTAAAACAACCGCAATAATAAAGAGGGGGAGTTTTTGTTTCTTTATCTGCAATGGAGATGTAGAAAGTTGGAGGCAGTGATGGAAAGTGACAACGAAAATAGTATAGAAAAAAGGCATATGTAGTTAAAAAACTTGGGAGAATTACACCCAATCTCCCTAAAATTTGTCACTTAATCACTCAGACCCTCTAACATTTAAAATATTACACACAGACTCCCTAAAGTTTGTACGCGCGTAACACTTAGACCCTCCTAAAGTTTATAAATATATAATACTTAGACCCCTTGAGTTTAAAATATTATACTTAGACCAAAAATACTTCAATCAAATATAGAATATCAAATATTTTAAATAAAAAAAAATTCATATTCTATTGTATCATTTATTGAAATAAAATTAAAAATAAAAATTTATTTTTTTCTTAAAAAATTGTAATTAGTATATAATTATACTATCTATTGGAATAAAACTAAAAAAATTAAACAATAGGTCTAAGTTATTCATAATAGAACATGAATTTTACATCTAAAATTAATGTTCTATTATTTCATTTATGGGAATAAAATCAAAAATAAAAGTCNGCTTAACCCATCATTTGCCCCCCAATGCCCCATGTCCAAGGAGACTTGGAGAAAGAGGCATTGATTATATATATATATATATATTTTTTTTTTTTTAAACTTCAAATCTTTCCCATTTTATTTTGAAAAGGGAGTGGTGGAGGTTGAAGAAAGGGAGACGGCTGGGCGCGCGATTGGGCAGCGCAGGCGCGCTGGGCGCACAGCTGGGCAGCGCAGGCGCTGGGCGCT